TTGGACAAGAACAAACTGGGAGGAGGGTGGAGAGAATGGTGCAGCGGTGAATGGGTGGAAACCCAAAATCTCTGTAAATGTTTATGAAAATTAATAAAATATAATTATCGAAAAAAAAGTCAAGGACTGAAGAAATAAAATTTGGCTAAACCATGTTGTTGTTTTTAAGTGCTGTCGAGTTGTAGATGACTCATAGCGACCCTATGAACAAAAGACCTGAACACTTTTATAACTTTGGTCGTTTCTCCATGTTCATAGAGTTTCTGGAGGCAAGCTATTTCAGAAGTGGATGCCACTCTCCTGCTTCCAAGCTCATTTTAAGCCATACTCGATAAAAACAAATGACATAAAAATTTACTGAATCACAGAGAATTTTCCCCCAGTGAAAACATGAAAAACTCAGATATTATTAATGTTTAGAGAATAACTCCAATTTGCATATAAGATTAAAACATAATTTTAACAAACATTTCTTGCAATTAATTTGATCCTCTTTTGTTTTTGTAAAAAGTAATTATCTATATACTTTTTAATACTTGAAAATGCCACCATCAATAATACCATCAAAGTATAAATGTTTTACTATGAAACGTTTTAAATTCAACAAAATATTTAAATATCTTATGTAAGCACAGAATACTGTCAATGCATGAGTAATAATTTAAATTTGTTGCTACTGTTGTTTTCTGTCGAGTCAAGCACAGTTCATAGCCACCCTATGAACAAAAAGTTCGAAATCCTTTCTATAACTATGATCATTTATCAAAGTTCGTAGAGTTCTAAGAGGCATGAAATGTAAAGTAGATGGGTTATATAAATAGATGTAATAATTCAGGAGTTGATATTTTTGTGTGCATGTTCAAATTTCTATTTTAATACTTTCAAAACACCTTTCAACAATATGAATATGCATGCATATGACTATATTGTATTAATTCAACAATTCTTTTTTTTTTTTTTAATTCAAGACTTCTAAAAGTACGGTTGAAGAAACCCGTATACTCTAAGTAGCAGAATTTGCTGTGTTCTGCCCTCTGCTGTTCTATTTTGGCAATTACCTAAAACAGCAGTATTGTTTCAAAAACAAAGTTACAGTGAAAAGTTATCCTTGCTCTTGCTCCCTTATCCCCAAAACCCTGCTCCACGGGATCCAGCATCACTCTTACTCTACCCCTGACAAGACTTGTTCACTTTCCTAGAAGATGATAGGGCTTTCAGACACCACTTTCAGGAAAGGAAACAAGATAAGAATAGCTCTCTC